TACAGGGTGCGCCAGAACTCGCGCCCCAGAGAAAAATGCCATATAAGGTAAGATACCAGGAACATGGAAAAAATATTTAAAAAAAATATCTATAAAAATTTCGAAGTTATGAGGGTTTAAAGTTTGCACTTTGACTATTTATTTCTGTTGGAAAAGTAATTTTTCAAGTTTTTTTGATATAGGCTATTAAAAGAGGAAAGAAGGAAGCTGTATCCTAAATTGTATCTCTGTTCAATGTTATTTGTGGCTTTTATTAGCAAAATTTTTGTCCCTTTACTAAATAATTTAAAAAAAAAATATACAAGATTATGAGTATCCTTTAATAGATATAAAAAAATGTCAAATGTCAAAAATTTTTGACAGATAGAATTTTTTAAACATTTTTTTCATGTTCCTGGTATCTTACCTTGCTTGAAAATTTTCTCTGGGGCGCGAGTTCTGGCGCACCCTGTATAAATGTCAAAGTAAAATTCAACAATAAAATCTAATGACAAAGATCGTTAGCAACTAACAACCGCAGATATGCGACAATGGATGTATTTTTTTTATCATCTAGACGATAAAATTTCATTTTAACATGAAGAAAAGAGTAGATAAAATTCAATTTTATTATAGAGGATTGAATAAAACTAATTTTTCTTAAATGTCTCATGAAAAGTGCTATTACAAAAATATTGACGCAAGAAATTATTTGTAAAAATAAACAAAACCAATATTGTACTTAGATAAAAACTAAATATTTTTTTATTTCTTTATTTTTATTATACATTTTATTTTGGTGGACTTACTTTTTGTTCATAGCTCTTTTTACCTTACTTTTTTTTCTATAGTAGGTACCTACAAAACTTTTTAAAAACTGATTTTTGTGTTTTTACAACGTTTTATACATTTTTTTTGAGTCACCTAGACTCCCTAGAAGTGCAATTGAATCAATTTTGAAGTTTTCGGTTTTTTGATATTTGTCAAAATTTTGGTCAATTTTTAATACCTGAAGCGGATATCAGCTAATAACTTTGAAATTATTTTTTCGATCATTGCTTTATGTTTGGTACTTTTTAATTTCCTATTTTATAAAAGAAAAATTATAATTCTGCGATAAAATCGCTGGTAAAAACAATAATATCGTAAATATAAATTCGACTATAACAGCAAAACTATTCTGAATTTTGCAGTTTTCTTAACGCCAATCAATTCCCCGGGACATTTTACATATGTCTACATCAAAATATTATATCACTGCAGTACAGTTTTTGCACAATTTACAAAATAAAAAAAAGGAAAAATTTGTTAACAAAATTTTTAAAATTGTGAAATTTTAAATGCGTTTTTTTACGAAACTATAAGACTTAGGACAAAAAAGCATTAAAATCTACCTTAAATTACCTGTCTAATGGCGCAAACCGGAAGTTCCTCCGGGTAACGGTTCTAGGTAGTCATTTTTAGTTTTTTTTTCAAAAAAAGTCATATCTCAAAAACTATGAGTCATATGTCAAAACGGTTTGTTCAGGCGTATTCTCCAGTTAATTTTACATGTAGTACTAGTTTTTTATAAGAATAAAAAAAAATGATTTGGATTTTATTCTTAACTTTATTACTCAATATCTCAAAAACTATGCATCGCAGAGCATTTTAACCTGTTGCATCGTGTTTAGCGTGTGATTTTGCGTCTAGAAAACCATATTAAAAGTATTTTTGAAATAAAAAGATGATCGATCATTTTTACAATTCGTATTTTCAGTAATCAGTCAGAATCTCCGACGCGTCATTAACGACTCACCCTGTATAAAAAAGGGGAAAGATTTTTTTCGAGGCTAATTAGGACGCGTAAAATGATAGTGTTGTGATTTATTTGTCGCTTCGTTGAAAATTTAGTTTGGGGATTTTATGGAAGCATTTTTTACCCAAAAGTAATTAATCATTATGTGGTTTTGAGTTTGACATCGGGTAAGACAAATTTGCAAACGAGACGTTTTGGTTAATTAAAGGTCAAACATGTGTGGCCTGAAAAAAAAACGTCTAATTTTGATTTTTCACTATGTCTTTGAGTAAATCATGATCAAAGTGTCCACCACTTAGACTTTTCCCGCCCGATTTGAGAAGATAAAGTGAGTGTCGTTGTGTTTTTCCGTTTTCACAGATGGATTAGAAACATTACATCGGTGTTTCGAGCTTACACACATCATTTGTCACCTCGAAATACCTCGCCTATAAATATGACGGTATGACACGACGGAACACTTTGTCATATTTCGTATACGTTGTGTTATGTTCTCGTCGTTCACACTTATGTTTCATATTTTAACGATCCGTCAAGTCGTACTCCTTTCCAACATGATGAATTGGTATGACTGTTAAGACGTCGAGTAATAGTAAACAGCTGCTAAACTCGCTTTATTGTGAACTTTTCCGGTAATTAGATATTTTTAGGTTTAGAGAGGCGATATTATATCTTCATCGTGCGAATTTTTTTATTTTTTTTTTGTTCAAATATTGGTAATACGACTCTGTCACGGATTATTAACCTAAAAGGCGTCAAAGACGAAGAATTCTCGCACATCAAAGGACCCGAGTGACCCCACAGACACTCATTTGACCGGATCCGACATAATATACAGGATGTATCGGATAGACGGATCCGTTTTCACGGCTTTTGACAGCACGTTCCAAGAAACTCACCCAATTAAGAAAATTTTAACATTTGTTCAAACTTACTGAAATTGAAAGCGCCGTTACAACTTATTTGCCTATTATAATTAGAGAAATTTACCGTGCTTTTCAAATTTCACATTTCTGCAAAGTTTTTTTTTTTGAGTCTCTTTTAAAAGTGCATTTAAATCAATTTTGAAGTTTTTGATTTTTCGATTAAGAAGACTCGAAAATTTTAACATTTGTCCGAGAAGTATGTAATGAAATTAAGAGAATCTCTACTACAAGAAAAGTAT